AGACACCATGCAAGTGTGTGTCAGATACCGTAATGTGCCTGAATATATTTCAAAACAATGAATTTTATTTAACTTCCTGCAGAAGTTGGTTAAGAAGAAAATCCTACCAGATGTGTATAAGCACACCCCTTTTTGTTCCTGTGTCACATCACAGTGATTTCACTGAGACACAAAGCACAATTAAAACCCACCCAGATGGAGAGAGAAGTGAGGCTGCTCCTGAGCACAGGTGTGCTGGGGAAAGTAGCTCCCCAGATCCGGGGCATATTGCTCATCACTTACACTGCTTTAAATCCGTTTGGACAAAAACCACAACAGCATTTAAAACCTACTTGATGGCTGAGGGAAGGGAAAAATTGCTGCGGAGAGATGGGCTGGAATTTGAGGGAACAGTGCCCTCTTCTTTTGTATTTTATCAAAGTGTTTGAGTGATGCAGGTGCTGAAGTCTCTGCTCACTTGCTAATGATGCACACTTACATCAGAGGAAGCCTTATCGCCATTAACCCCATTAGACTGGCACCGTGCTCAGGAGAAATGCTGGACTGGGCTGGCACAGAGGCAGCAGACTCTTTTCCTTAGAGTAATTGCTTTCCTTCACTCTTCTCCTCCTCCTTCCCAGGTCAGGGCTGTGCACATTAGGCTGCCTTTCATTGTGAGCGTCAATGTGTTGGCTGGCTGCTGGGTAAATACATCAAGTGGCTCACGCCCAGTGTGCGGCTCTCATCATTCCTTTCTGTCAAAGCTGCTTTTCAATGATGCTTTGGTCTGGGGGTAGAACAGATTTCCTGCAGTGCTGAAGCCGGGCAGATTCCTTGCTGAATTGGAGCTTGATAAATATGTATTGAGTCTCACGCATCAGAACAGTGAGCAACAGCCATATGAAATGCTATAGAAATGCAGAATTTCACTTCTAGCAACTCAGAGTTTTTAAGCAGACACCAACCAGCAGATAAAAGCAGAAACATGCCCTTTTATCACTGTTTTTGCAAGATTTGTGTTTGCCCAATGCAGTGGTATCTGGGTGACCATAACAACCCATTACATTCATTTGCCCACAACTGATAGCATGAAACAGATTCTTGCTGTATTGAGACAGTCAGCGATGACACACAGCCAAACAAATATTTGACAAAGGACAGTTGGGTTTCACACCACTCTCTGAGTAACCCTTACTCCATCCCAGCTATTTTCTGCTCTCTGTTTGAATGTTTTTGTTTGAATGTTTGATTTATCCTCCCAGTTCAGGTTGTCCTGTTGCACAGAGAGGTGAGGCAGGGCAGCATCTCAAAATGGCTCAAGTGCCAGGAGGGATTATTTCTGCATGTGCTTGTGTTGGTGTCACACCACGGTAATGCCTGAGCACATTTCTGGCTGGAGCAGGACAGTTTGGATGACCAGGGATAGCCAAGGTGCCATTCCCACATCCACATCTCAGGTGGCACAAGGACTGTGCTGATCTCCCTACAGCTCTTGAAACCTGGCTGGCATCTCCTGGCCACCCGAATATTTTGGTAGGCAATTCATGGAATTAAGAAGTTTGGCCACATCTGCTGACACATCCATCTAAAACGCCACCGAGGAAAATGAACAACTATAAAGTCCAGCCATGCAGGACGAGATAAACTTCATCCAAACAATCTTGAGTGCGTTTACATCAGGCATTTACAGCAGGGCAGCCAGCTTGACTTTAAGCAGGATTAGCTGACTGGAGGAGCACAAGGCGTTGCTGTGGCTGAAGGGCCCTTGGTTTGATGCTGTTGCAGGGCAGATTAGAGCTGAGCAGAGCGTTGGAGGCTTCGAGCAGAGCCCTCTGTTAGAAGCTTAGGGAAAGGATGCCGCAGGCAGACAGGCTGCTGAGACACGGTGCTAAGCACAGCCCACCAGGCAGCTCAGAGGAATCCTGTTTCTGTTCACCACTTGATCACATTGTGCATGAAGCTGGGATTTATCTCGGCAGTGGTGCTGGCTTAAGCAGCAAATGCCACTCAGAAGAAATTTCCAAGTAGAAAGGAAAATACTTGTTAGAAAAAAATCTCATCAATTGGTGTGGCTGGAGTGTCCCAGTGGCTGCAGATGACCATGACACATGTGGGCATGGCCACTGACATCACCAGTTCCACAGCCCTGGAGCAGCAATGCTCCACCAGCTCTGCCCTGAGCAGTTGGGGAGCCTTTGAGCAGGGCAAGGATCTTCACAGCCAGCCTCACGTGTCAGCCCTCGGGTTATTCCCTAACTGGAGCTGCAGAAATCTGTAACCCATCGGATGTGGGAGCAGTAACTCCACTCCAGTGCACAGTCCTGCAGTGACACGTCTCTTGGCCCCGCATCAGAGGGCCACACAGGGCTTTCCTGCACCTCCTGTGTTTGGAACCAGGGCCCTGCTCTTGCCCATGGCAGGGGTTGGCTCCTGCCCTGACCCAGCCTGCCCTCAATGTGTTTTCCCAGGCAGCCCTAGAAACAGTTACTGACAACATCTGGTAACAGCCTCACCCTATTCCTGGTCCTTTCAGGGTCCTCCTGGTCAAATCTGGGATTTTAGAAAAGCTGTAGACATTAATTAAAATCTCTGGAACTGCTTTCTCTTTCTAATTTTTTTTTTTTTTTCTTTTTGGCAGGTCAGGCTGCTCTGATATAAGGTCTCACCCTGCTTGCTGCCATTCACCTGCCTACCAGCCTGGGCCCATTTTTAAGCTCAGGTAACAGCACACTCATCCAGGGGTGGATGGAGTAAAAGCCTGAGCCAGCTCTTGTCAGGTAGTGTGTGGCCCTGGCTCCTACCTGATGGCCACATTTTGTCTTCTGGCCACAAGCATTTGCTGATGCTGAGCAGTTTGGGGCAGGAGAGGAGCTCAGGCAGAGAGCTCAGATCTCAGCTCAGACCACCTCCCTCTTCCCCGTGTCCCCTTTATGGATGCCTTTCCTCCCTCTCCTGCAACCTTTTGCTGTGCCCAGCTCAGCTGAGTCTCGCTGCAGAGCTGACACTGGTGTGGGGGAAGTGGGATTGGTGTTTTTTAGACGGTGCTTCTCTCTCTTCCTCTCAGTTGGCATTGAACTGCAGAGGCAAAGAGCACTCACCGAAGATGGTGTCTCGGGTGAGATGTCTAACGCAGGTCCCGACTGCTCAGCAGTCATTAGACATCTCAGGGAAGATGTTCCAGGAAGAGGGATGTTAACCTTGTGGTCCTGGACTGATTCCAGCTCGTTTAATTACAGTTTTCATAGCTGAAATTTGCTCTGCACTTTTGACCAGTTATGGGATTTTTTTTCCCCATCTCCTTGAAGCTGTTGAACAGCTTTGCTACTAGCTGACACATTCCCCACACAAGCTGAAGCAATACAAAACTATAGCTGCTCCCTCTCCCAAGTTTCTCAAATTCATTGTATTTTCTGACTACTTAACTATTCAGGATTCTGCAAAGTATCACCAGCTCACCTATACAGAAACATTTTATCTGTTTAATCTGAATATATGTATATAGGGATATGTACATATAGTACAGACTATACATGAGCCAAATATATGCTGTTGCAGCACAGAACATGACCTTTTTCATTAATATAAATATAGATAGAAATACAATACCTAATCATACAGAAATATAAAAAAGTAATTTGAAGAAATGCTGTAATGCAAGCTAAACAACCTACACAGTCCCTTATAATGAAAATCTGTATGAGTATAAAGCTATATAAAAACACTATATGATTATATGCATTCATATTTGAGTCTATATATTTTTATATATATATAACCTCTATAAAAGTGCATTAAGGTGTTTTAAACCTCACACCTTTGTGTATGTGGGATGAATCTCCCCTTCAGCAAGCCTTGGCAAGCAGTCCAGGGTTATTAAGGAAGTGTTTTAAGGCCAGATTGGATGGGGCTACAAGCAACCTGGTCTGGTGGAAAGTGTCCTTACCCATGGCAGGGGTATGGAACCAGATGTTTTAATGTCTCTTCCAAGCCAAAATTCTATGATTCCATAGAGAGGCAGCAAAAGGCCACTGAACCCAGTTCATGTCAGAGTCCAGACCCCAGCCAGGGGATGTATGTGCCCCTGCCCCACAAAACGCCAGGAGCAGGTTGGTTTGGGCTTGGGGCATCTCTCCAGCACAGGGAGTTGTTGATGAGGTGATTTGGAGAGACTCTTTGTTAGGAACTGCAGTGATAGGACAAGGAGTAATGGGTACAAATTGAAAGCGTGGAAATTTATGTGAAATATTGGGAAGAAACTCTTCCCTGCGAGGGTGGGGAGGCCCTGGCACAGGCTGCCCCTGGATCCCTGGAAGTGTCGAAGGCCAGGCTGGACGGGGCTTGGAGAAATCTGGGACAGTGGAAGGTGTCCCTGCCATGGCAGGGGCAGGAACTGAGCGATCTTTAAAGTCCCTTCCAACCCTAACCATTCTATGATTCCACGGCGATGCAGCAAAAGGCCGCTGAAGCGAGCCCATGTCAGTGACCAGAACCGTGCCGTGGCACGGACCTGCCCCATACCCACAGAAAGCCCAGAGCCGATGTGCGGCGGGGGCAGCCCGCGGCTCGGGGGGTGTTTGTGGGGGGCACAGAGCGGTTTAACCGCCGGGAGCCGCCGGGCCGGGGCCGCTCCCTCACACCTGCCCGCGCTGCGCTGCCCGCCCTGGCCCGCAGGCGGCGCCGCGCGGCCGCCGTTGCCGCCCCCGCCCAGCGCCCCGCACCGCGGCGGGGCGGCCGCGCCCGGCGGAGCTGCCGGGGGAGGCGGCGGCCGG